GATCAATCACTGTTTTTGGTAGAAATGATATTTCTACATGGCAAATAATTTACTAGTAGGTGTAGTAGAGTAATAGAAATCCAACAGACCCAACAGTCATGACATGCATGCTGCTGATTCTGTGTCATTGAATCACTAATTGAAAGGGGCATGTTCAAAATAATAGCAGTGTGGAGTTCTATTAGTGAGGTCATTCATTCTTTGAAAAACAGGTGGCAATTATTGCCCTTATTTAAGGAAGGAAGGCAGCAAATGTTGTACATGCTGGTTACAATTGCATTTCTCTCTGAAATTCTGAGAAAAATGGGTCGTTCCAGACATTGTTCAGAAGAACAGCGTACCTTGATTAAAACGTTGATTGGAGAGGGGGAAAACATATAAAGAAGTGCAGAAAATGATCGGCTGCTCAGCTAAAATGATCGCAAATGCTTTAAAATGGCAACCAAAACCTGAAAGACGTGGAAGAAAGCAAAAAACTACTATTCGAATGGATAGAAGAATAGCCAAAATGGCAAGGACTCAGCCAACAATCAGCTCCTGGAAGATGAAAGAAGGTCTAAAGTTACCTGTGAGTACTGTTACAATTAGAAGACGCCTATGTGAAGCCAAGCTATCTGCAAGAAGCCCCCGCAATGTCCCTCTGTTGAAAAAAAGACGTGTGCTGAAGAGGTTACAATCTGCCAAAGAGCACATTGACCAGCCTAAAGAGAAATGGCGCCACATTTTGTGGACTGATGAAAGTAAGATTGTTCTTTTTGGGTCTAGTGGCCGGAGACAGTTTGTCAGATGACCCCCAAACACTGAATTGAAGCCACAGTACACTGTGAAGACAGTGAAGCATGGTGGTGCAAGCATCATGATATGGGGATGTTTCTCATACTACAGTGTTGGGCCTATTTATCGCATACCAGGGATCATGGATCAGTTTGAATACATCAGAATACTTGAACAGGTCATGCTGCCTTATGCTGAAGAGGAAATGCCCTTGAAATGGGTGTTCCAACAAGACAATGACCCCAAACACACCAGTAAACGTGCAACATCTTGGTTCCAGACCAACAAGATTGATGTTATGGAGTGGCCAGCCCAATCCCCGGATCTTAATCCAATAGAAAACTTGTGGGGTGACATCAAAAATGCAGTTTCTGAGGCAAAACCAAGAAATAGAGAAGAACTGTGGAATGTAGTCCAATCATCCTGGGCTGGAATACCTGTTCACAGGGGCCAGAAGTTGGGTGACTCCATGCAACACAGATGTACAGCAGTTCTCAGAAACAGTGCGACTACAACCAAATATTCATTAAGTGATTCAAAGGAAAGCAAAATCTTCAAGCATTTCTCAGTTTATATAGTGAATGTTTGAGTTTGTAAAGAATACAAACACTGCTATTTTTTTGAACAGTCTAATATTCACTTTTCTTCAATTTGATACATTTTTCTTCATGTTTTGATTTGGAATAGAATGTGTCGTGTTCCCAATGCATTTGTGTGTATGGAAATAAAAGCTATTAGAAGGATTTTGAGCTTTATTCACTTTTTTCAACACACTGCTATTATTTTGAACACAACTGTATGTTTTGTCGGCAGGCTGACTGAAAGAAAAAAAAATATTTTTAATTCCATTTGGCTCCTGCTCATTATACATAATTATAAACACAGTTAACCGTATAAACAGTCAGTTGTTTTCATTAAGTCAGGTCTGACCATAAACCTGCTGCATCAGAGAGGAACAGTGAAGCACAATGACTGTGTACCATAAGAAAGCTGGAAGTACAACCCACATTTTGATGGGCAAACATGGCTGCCCCTTATGTACCCATAGTTACAAACCATTGCTGCGTAGAAGGTTTTTTAAAATTGGGCCACTTACTGATACAATTATTTACAGTAAGCGTATCTTATAAACTATATACGTGTGTAAAAAACCCCTACAACAATATCATTTGAGGTCAATTTGCCTTTAAAAAATTGAACTTCTGTTATTTTATAACATCAATTGCTTATTAGATATAAGCAGATAGAATGGAGCTACTCACAGAAGGTGTAAGAGGCCTGGAAGCCCTTCGCCTGGTTAGACCCGTCACTGTGGAATACGAGAACCATAGAATTGCTGGTGGAGTACAACACAGGGATGCTGAGATCACCACAGAATGGACCCCTTTGTTTACCATCCATGAAGAGTTTTATATAGTCAAATGTACAGAATCTGGTATACTCTACATGGAAGTCACTGATGGTCAGAGCAATCTGAAAAAAAGGAAATAAAATTTATAACTAACCCGAAAGTGGTGTGTTCATGCAATAAGAAAACACATCATTTTTTATGGTATAAAATTAAAAATTAGTGAAGCGCTTGTATCACATGAATACAATCATGTATCTCCATATAGTGTAATTATAAATCAAAGTGACCACTATATATAAATAAATGTGTGTTGACTCCCTCTAGTGAAAAGAAAAAATAGTGTCAACCAAAATAGCTAAATAACACACATTAGGAAACTAAAATATATAGTGCATAAATCAAATATAATGAACAGAATATATATACGTGAAAACAGAATATTGGCCACATACAATGGTGTCTAAATTATACATAAATGATATATGCCATAGGTGAACAAGACAATATCAAAGGTGAAAAAAATATTCCATGCATGTGACTGTGCTTTAAGCTGGAACACACACGTGATCTCCACTTCTAAGTGCAAGTACTCTCCTTCAAATGGCAGCAATGCCTGCTCACCTCCCTTCCTCGACCCACACAGGGCCTCAAAGCAGTTACCACCTCAGTGGTGTATTCATCTGGCAGACTCCTTATTCCTCCTCCTCTCTTATGCAACTCATAAAAAGACAAGAAAGCCTTCCATAGTGTAGTAAATTTAATAGGCAAAGTTAAAAATTACAAAGTTTTCCACTCACATGCTCCTTTCCATAAAAAAGCGTTTTTCCCAGCCTGTGGGTAGATATGCATGCACCTGGGGGAATCCAATATGGCCACTGTGTCCGGACATACGTCACCAGGAAGTAGACAAACCGACGCGTAGCGTCACGTGCGTCGTGACTTCATCAGGGTTTGACTTCATCAACCCTGATGAAGTCACGACGCACGTGACGCTACGCGTCGGTTTGTCTACTTCCTGGTGACGTATGTCCGGACACAGTGGCCATATTGGATTCCCCCAGGTGCATGCATATCTACCCACAGGCTGGGAAAAACGCTTTTTTATGGAAAGGAGCATGTGAGTGGAAAACTTTGTAATTTTTAACTTTGCCTATTAAATTTACTACACTATGGAAGGCTTTCTTGTCTTTTTATGAGTTGCATAAGAGAGGAGGAGGAATAAGGAGTCTGCCAGATGAATACACCACTGAGGTGGTAACTGCTTTGAGGCCCTGTGTGGGTCGAGGAAGGGAGGTGAGCAGGCATTGCTGCCATTTGAAGGAGAGTACTTGCACTTAGAAGTGGAGATCACGTGTGTGTGTTCCAGCTTAAAGCACAGTCACATGCATGGAATATTTTTTTCACCTTTGATATTGTCTTGTTCACCTATGGCATATATCATTTATGTATAATTTAGACACCATTGTATGTGGCCAATATTCTGTTTTCACGTATATATATTCTGTTCATTATATTTGATTTATGCACTATATATTTAGTTTCCTAATGTGTGTTATTTAGCTATTTTGGTTGACACTATTTTTTCTTTTCACTAGAGGGAGTCAACACACATTTATTATATATAGTGGTCACTTTGATTTATAATTACACTATATGGAGATACATGATTGTATTCATGTGATACAAGCGCTTCACTAATTTTTAATTTTATTTTGCACTTATTGGTATCAGCTAAGTGACAGCAGCTGTATTTTGTCAATTATTCCCATGAGCGCAGGAGGATCCCTTATTATTTTTTTATGGTATAAAAGCAAGTGAGTATATTGTTGCTCACAATTCATTGATGTTACAGTTTACCTGAAATACTATTTGACATTAAGGATAACACTGTACATAAAAGGCTGTGCTTAGGAATCGTGTTGGAAAATGGAAGTCCTTTTCTATCCTGTGGTGTAGTGGTCACCAATCTACAACTGCCAGACAAGGAATGAAATAACAGGATCTGGGAGATCTTCTGTTCTCCTCCTACATTACAGGCTGCTTTCTATGTCATTCACTTGTCTACTATAGGCTCAAGAACCTGATCAGCACCCTCCCTTCCTCTGCCCCGTGGTCCTGTTACTCTCAATCAGGATGGCAGGAATTAGCCCAGGGCTGCAAAGTCATGTAAAACATCTTACAAAGCTCATGCCACCAGTTTTCAGCCAGTTTCATAAATTACCACCAACACTTCCTATCATCACTGGAAAATGATCCAGAAAGTCTTGGTGGTAGATAGTCTTAGAGCAATCTACTGTAGATTTGCCAGCAGTCATGTAGTGTTATGGCTTAAACCAGGGGTCTCCAAACTTTGTAAACAAAGGGTCAGTTGACTGTCCATCATACTTTAGGGGGCCGGATTGTGGCTAGTGGGAATAGAACATTTCCTGGCGTCAGTGGGAGCAAAAAATCCTACCTTTGGTATTAGGGGGAGGAATAGTGCCCGATCGTTGGTGTCAGTGCGAGGAATAGTGCCCGATCATTGGTGTCAGTGGGAGGAATAGTGCCCCATCCTTGGTGTCAGTGCGAGGAATAGTGCCCCATCGTTGGTGTCAGTGCGAGGAATAGTGCCCCATCGTTGGTGTCAGTGCGAGGAATAGTGCCCCATCTTTTGGTACCAATGGCAGTAATTGACTCCATTGTTATTGGTACTGGAAGGAATAGTGTCCCAAGGTAAAAGCAAACAAAGGGCCACATCTGGCCCCAGGGCCACAGTTTGAAGACCACTGGGCTAAACAATACGTTCAATTTTGATTCAATCAGTTAGGTCCACAGCATAATTGTTAGTGAATTTAAAGGGAGTTGTACAATTAGTTTGTAATGACTCTGTCCAACGTTAAAGTTTTGTATGAATCCTTTTGAGAATTAGGGAGTCCGATAATAAGGTATAAGGTGATAAACACGTTAAGGTAGCTTGTATTACCTTATATCCAACAGGAGCTGTGATGGTGTAGTTACAGTTCATGTTTGGACTGTAGTTCCCTGCATATCCTGGAGATGTAAAGTTTCCTTGGAAGGTATAGAAGGTTCCTCCACACTGAACTGTGAGAACATAGATATAGTCAGTACAGTAAGGACATTTTACAATAGTATGACATAATTTTATGTTATAAATACTATATATACACACACATATATATATATATATATATATATATATATATATATATATACACACACAGTGTACTGTATAGACAGTATATATCTCATCCTCCCTATTGGAGTTCCGAGTTGGTCTTCAGCTCGAACACCCCTCTTCAGACCTAGAGATCGACTACTTAGGCACTAAATTCTGCAACAGGGAAGGATAAGGAATGAGTCACATGTTGTACCCCACCCTAAAGTATTTTAGAGGGCACAGTAGTGCAGTGATGGTAAGTATTTGTTGAGGAGGTGGGCAGGCTATCAAGTACATCTATTATTTAATCCTAAAATGGCAAAGTACAATTTCATTTAAAAGCCTTAATTCGGCCTTCTGTAAAATGCTGTTCCCCCTGCACTGCATGGGTTAATATTTATTTAGTCTGGGGAAGGGAGGGAGGGTGATGACTAAGGTCAAATACTTACCTTATTCTTTCTTTGGGCTTTGTGTTGTATGAAGGGCCTTCAGTCCTGCTTCTTTTTGCTACCCTCCAGTCTTAGGCTTTCAGATGTCATCAGAACCAATGCAGAATCAGCAGTAATGCATTGCATATGAGAGTGAAAAGAACCCAGCCACACTCCAGGACATCAAAGAGCAAGGAACTGTTCAGGCTACTGGGGGAATGAGGAAAAAGGTAAGTTTTTATACTTCTTCCAATTCTCCGTGAACAAAATTGAGCATTTAACCCATGCAGTGTTGTGGAAGGTCTGGTCCCTGCACTCTACCTTATGAGAGCATTTTGGATGACATTGTCAACCCCATAGAAGTCCATAGGTATGTCCCAACTTCCTAGCATACAGTGGGGCACAGAGAAAATACTGGAAATGTGCCAAACAGAATACAGCAAGGCAGATTAATTTAGACAGTAGAATAAGTAATTAAGTTAAGTGTTTTTTCACTTCTAAAACTGACCAACATGCACATGATACCAACAACTTTATAGTGCAATGGTCTGCCCAGCTGAATACAGTAAAAAAAAAAGATGTTTAAGCAGGCCTTAATATTTCATAGTTCTGGTACAGTTGTGTTCAAAATAATAGCAGTGTGTTGAAAAAAGTGAATAAAGCTCAAAATCCTTTTAATAGCTTTTATTTCCATACACACAAATGCATTGGGAACACTACACATTCTATTCCAAATCAAAACATGAAGAAAAATATATCAAATTTGTGTTGTTCCTCTAAAAAGATTTAAGAAAAGTGAATATTAGACGGTTAAAAAAATAGCAGTGTCTGTATTCTTCTTTACAAACTCAAACATTCAATATATAAACTGAAAAATGTTTGAAGATTTTGCTTTCCTTTGAATGACTTCATGAATATTTGGTTGTAGTCGCACTGTTTCTGAGAACTGCTGTACATCTGTGTTGCATGGAGTCACCCAACTTCTGGCACCTGTGAACAGGTATTCCAGCCCAGGATGATTGGACGACATTCCACAGTTCTTCTCTATTTCTTGGTTTTGCCTCAGAAACTGCATTTTTGATGTCACCCCCACAAGTTTTCTATTGGATTACGATCCGGGGATTGGGCTGGCCACTCCATAACGTCAATCTTGTTGGTCTGGAATCAAGATGTTGCACGTTTACTGGTGTGTTTGGGGTCGTTGTCTTGTTGGAACCCATTTCAAGGGCATTTCCTCTTCAGCATAAGGCAGCATGACCTGTTCAAGTATTCTGATGTATTCAAACTGATCCATTATCCCTGGTATGCGATAAATAGACCCAACACCGTAGTATGAGAAACATCCCCATATCATGATGCTTGCACCACCATGCTTCACTGTCTTCACAGTGTACTGTGGCTTGAATTCAGTGTTTGGGGGTCGTCTGACAAACTGTCTCCGGCCACTAGACCCAAAAAGAACAATCTTACTTTCATCAGTCCACAAAATGTTGTGCCATTTCTCTTTGGGCCAGTCAATGTGCTCTTTGGCAAATTGTAACCTCTTCAGCACATGTCTTTTTTTCAACAGTGGGACTTTGCGGGGGCTTCTTGCAGATAGCTTGGCTTCACATAGGCATCTTCTAATTGTAACAGTCCTCACAGGGAACTTTACACCTTCTTTCATCTTCCTGGAGCTGATTGTTGGCTGAGTCCTTGCCATTTTGGCTATTCTTCTATCCATTTGAATGGTAGTTTTTCGCTTTCTACCACGTCTTTCAGGTTTTGGTTGCCATTTTAAAACATTTGCGATCATTTTAGCTGAGCAGCCTATCATTTTCTGCACTTGTTTATATGTTTTCCCCTCTCCAATCAACTTTTTAATCAAGGTACGCTGTTCTTCTGAACAATGTCTGGAACGACCCATTTTCCTCAGAATTTCAGAGAGAAATGCACTGTAACCAGCATGTACAACATTTGCTGCCTTCCTTCCTTAAATAAGGGCAATAATTGCCACCTGTTTTTCAAAGAATGAATGACCTCACTAATAGAACTCCACACTGCTATTATTTTGAACATGCCCCTTTCAGTTAGTGATTCAATTACACAGAATCAGCAGCATGCATGTCATGACTGTTGGGTCTGTTGGATTTCTATTACTCTACTACACCTGCTAGTAAATTATTTGCCATATAGAAATATCATTTCTACCAAAAACAGTGATTGATCAGGTTAGTGATGTCTGACTGCTATTATTTTGAACACAACTGTATATCTAAAAAGATTGTTCAGATTTTTACGCAAGTATACAGCTTCACCCCAGATTTCAGACACTGAGGGGCTTCATGGAATTCTTTAAAGGTTTTGAAGAAAGAACCTCAAGCTGTTGTGTCAATATTACCTATTTGACTCTTTGATTATGCAATGTCTTTCTCTGAGCACTTTCTTTGTTTTTAAAACAAATCAGCATACCTGAGCTATATGTAGCATTAAAGCCAACCCCAGTAACAGCCCCGTCACTGACAAATTCGACCAGCATCTCGTTAGCGGAAGCGATGAGTGGAGGGATGGTTTTAGTGCCGCACATTTTATCCAGCAACACCGGAGAGTTCTTAGAGTTTCCATCATAGATCCTCATGAAGTAAAAGGTGCAGTTGGGTGTGAACTGGACATCAAAACCACTGAAAGTTAATGAGGCCTAAAAGGTAACACAAAGACAATGTTTTATCTACAGGAAGGCATTAGCTTCACATATTTGTACCTGCATGTTGGGCTGCATGTAGGCATAATTTAGTGCTAAGGAGAAAGCCACAAGAATATGGAAGATGCTGGTGTCATTTCAACGTTTTAGGTTTTTTTTTTTCAGCTGAGATGTCTTTTAAAGCAGTAGTAAACTTAATAAAGAAAATAAAAATTGATCTGCAAGATAATATCATAATGTGTTAGTGTGCATTGCACACTAGAACATTATGAAAGACTTACCTTGAAACGAAGCCCTCCAGAGGCGCGCTGTCACCGCTATAGGCACTTCCATCTTCACCTGGTCTTTCAATGACGTCGTCAATCCTGAGCATGCATGCAGGAGCTTTAGCCACAGCACAGAGCTCTGAGGGACAGCACGGGCATGCCGTTCCTTCAGAGTGCATGCGCCAGTGATGTCACCGTCTGCTGCTCACTTCGATATCTCCTAAACAGTCCACGTTTAGGAGATATTCATTTAACCTACAGGTAAGCTTTATTATAAGCTCACCTGTAGGCCAAAATAAAAATACAGAGTTTACTATATTTTAAAGCAAATTTCTTCTCCATTGACAACCCTTTTGACTTTCCAGTTGAAAGAACTTTAATATTCTGTAAAGGTTTAGTTTTTAGTGTTTTTTTCAGCTAAGATCCCTTTTAAAACAAGTGTGTTCTTCATTTACAACCCTTTTGACTTTCCAGTTGAAAGAACTCTATTATTCCTCAAAGTTTTCGGGGTTGTTTTCAGATTGGAATAAGTAAAAATACTTACCTTATTCCTCATTCCCCCAGTACCTTGCTCTTTGATGCTCTGGATTGTGGGTGGACCCTTTCCACTCTCATATGTAATGCATTACTGCTAGTTCTGCATTGTACTTGATGACATCTAAGACCAGAGGGTAGCAAAAAGAAGTAGGATTGGAAGGAATAAGGTAAGTATTTTACCTTAGTCATCACCCTCCCTTTCCCAGGCTATAGTAAGGTGTCTCTCAAAGCAAGTGTGCTGTCTATTGACAACCCTTTTGACTTTCCAGTTGAAATAACTACTGTATTATTCCTCAATGTTACTTGAGACAAGTAATTTTGAACAAAACAAATTTGGGGGCAGAAACATTTAGCATACAGTATCTCACAGAAGTGAGTACACCCCTCATATTTTTGGAAATATTTAATTCTATCTTTTCATGTGACAACACTGAAGAAATTACACTTTGCTACAATGTGACGTAGTGAGTGTACAGCTTGTATAACAGTGTAAATTTGCTGTCCCCTCAAAATAACTCAACACACAGCCATTAATGTCTAAACCGCTGGCTATAAAAGTGAGTACACCCCTAAGTGAAAACATCCAAATTGGGCCTAAAATGTCAATATTTTGTGTGGCCACCATTATTTTCCAGCACTTCCTTAACCCTCTTGGGCATGAAGTTCACCAGAGCTTCACAGGTTGCCACTGGAGTCCTCTTCAACTCCTCCATGATGACATCACGGAGCTGGTGGATGTTAGAGACCTTGCGCTCCTCCACCTTCCATTTGAGGATGCCCCACAGATGCTCAAAAGGGTTTACATCTGGAGACATGGTTGGACAGTTCATCACCTTTACCCTCATCTACCCTAAGTCTAGTTTAAACCTATATTGAAAAAAGTCAAAGAAGTTTTTGACTTAGCTGACTGCGGATGTTGAAATATCATTTTAATTGGTGACGCAAGAACCAGAGCTGCAACCAGAGCTGCAAATAAAACCAAGATTCAGTGCTAAAACCACCATTCCTACAACCCCCTTACTATTAGATCCAGATGTTGGGCAACATTATTAAGCACATTAGAGTTTCCAGATAGGCTCTCAGACATGAAGTGGTAACGGTAGCGTAAAGACTATAGAGTGAACACCATTCCATAACAAAAACAAGTATTACTTCAAAATGTGGAGCAGTTGGTAGATAGAGCAGAGGGAGGTCTTGCGAGAGGTGGTTACATCTTAAGAAGACTACACTAAAACTCTGGCTCAGCCATGACGTTTACTGCCTGCAAACCATTGCAATGATTCTTTTTGAGTCAATCTCTAGAAAGCCTTTCACCAGGGCAAATATGAAAAAAGCAAAGAGCTGAAATCTTATCATGAATAACATTTACGAAGGTGTGATGTTTAAGTAAGGATTACTTTGGCCTTTTTTTGGCTCTGCACCGGTTAACTTTTTTGCTAAATGTAAATTTCAGGTGGTTTAAGAAGCAAAAACAAAATATGACTTTTCACAGCAAGGCTTCTACTACATTAGAGGTCAGATTTTGCATGTGTACAGTTCCTCTGTTTTCTTACCTGCCCATAGGGAGTCCTGATTAACCAAACACAGTTATTGTTATTAGGATAAGTAAAGGGATAATTTCCAGAAGTGAAGATTCCTGTCGGTTTATTAAGCAAGGTAGCACAGACACCTAAGAAGTAAGAAAAAAGAAACCATATTGTAACATAAATGTAAGAGTAGGGTAGCTGAGATATGACGTGAGCTGTAGACATATATAATTGTAGATATAGTTTAATTCTGTGTTATTAGAGATACAGTATTCCTTAATCAGTCATAGACATAGACATGTTTTTCAATTAGCACTTGAAAGGACAGAGCAAGCTTCTAGGCTAGAGGTGGCACCTTATCAAGCACCTGGTGATGGAGGCCAATGGAGAGAGGGCTTCCCTTGCGGCTAAGTTCCGGACTCCCCTGAGAGTGGGACAGCGGGATTCAGGCCCAAAGTTGCACAGGTTGCCTGTAGGAGTGCTGGTTGGTGGTCCACTCAGAAGCACAGCTGGTGCACGGAGATAGGTCAGCAGACAGGAGGCGCCTGCGCGTGGTATGCAAGCCTTTGCGAGAGAGAGAGAGAGAGAGAGAGAGAGAGAGTATCCGTAAGCCAAGCCGAGGTCAGATCAGGGGTAAATCAGAGTAGACAGGTCCAGGAGCAAGCCGAGTCGGTAACAGGAAATCACAAGTCAGAATTGCAGGAACAGGGCACGGGGAGCTAGAGATCATCCAGCAACTAGAGGAAGTGATGAGCCTCCTTATAAAGGCCGTCTGGTACCAGACTGAGGCTGATGTGTACCTCTGCGGCCATGTAGAGTACTGGCAGAAATGCCAGATCTTCCAGAACTTCTGCTGTGGACAGGACCCTGACACACCTAGATGCCAATAAAACTTTCACACCATGATGGACATAGATCTGTCACCTTCTTGAATGCTAAAAGAAGAGCTCTAGCCATTTCAGCTTCAAGAAACTGCAGGGGACAGGGAGAAGGCTCTGAAATGTCTGCCAGCTTTGAGTTATATCCAAAGATCAGAGGAATCCATCTCATACAAGATAAAATATCAGTTGCAGAAAGATGAAAATACTTCTGATTGGACACATTTTAGGCTACATGTACATGTAAAACTGTATTTGTAGCCTATGTAGAATCCCAGAGAAACACACAAAGTGGTTATATGGTGCCTGATTGCGTCGGCTGGACAGTGATTGGTACTGTCGTGTTCGGACTGATGCACTGGTGTCGGGAACCCTATCCTTGACTCAGCCACCGCAACCATTCCTGGCCCATTCAGCTCTGGGCACTTCAGAACACAGAATGTCCTGTGGGCTGGTACAGGACCCCCCCCCCCCCCCCAGGGTTGATTTGCTAAGGGAAAAAGTTCAGCCCACATCCATATTTCAATAACTTGAGGACCCTGAGATATGGATGACGTGGTTCGTCCGTTTCCATTTGACTGGCGAATCGCAGACTTTGTTTGACTTGCACCAGTCACAGGATAAATCTTGGTAAAAGTTTAATTTCTGTGACTGGTGCAAGTTATATTTCATAGTGAATTGCCAATTGTGTATGTCTTTTTGTCCTATTTGTATTTTCTGTAACTAATTTTTTCTTAGTACAATTTTATGCACTGCCCACTTTTGGGATATTAAATCATAAAATTAACAAGTGATGTATGTGTACTAAAAAGGGCTCATATCCCTGGAGAGATTGTTGTACTGTATTGTCTATATGCTCGGTCTAAGTTCATTGCAAATCTATTAGCAATTGCACTGTGTGTTGGTAGATTGCATGCAGATTGTAAAGTAGCAGATCTTACAGATGGAGATCTGTGTGTGTGTGTGTGTGTGGTGGCCCAGCAGACCAGTCTGTGGACAAACTGTTGAGTGGTGGCAAGCTACCGTTTGTTGTGTGTCTGGTGTGTGGGTGTGTGGACAGTGGAATAGTGATTAACACCAGGGTTACATAGTTAGTCTGGCTGAAAAAAGACAAAAGTCCATCCAGTTCAACCATTAAAAAAAGAAAATGTTATAATCCTACACCCACAGTTGATCCAGAGGAAGGCAAAAAACCCAGCAAAGCATAATCCAATTTGCGCCTGCAGGGGAAAAAAATTATTTCCTGATCCCCTGAGAGGCAATTGGATATTTCCTGGATAAACTTTACCTATAAATGTCAGTATCCAGTTATATTCTGTGTATCCAAGAAAGAATCCACGTGTAGCACCCTCCTAGTTAGCAAGGGGGGGCTAGATCCTGATTGTCAGAGAGGAAGGCTGAGTAGCAGCCTGGGTGTGATAGGAGGATAAATTTGGGTCAGGGCTGATAGACTTTGCAGGCCAGCCAATCTGGAATTTCCCCCTGCTCTAGAGCATTGGAGGAAGGTCTAGAGGTAGTGGGTGGATCTGAGGGGTGGCTGGCCTGTACTCTTGACGAACTCTGGCCAATCCCCAACAGCAGGAGCTTGCAAAGGGGCCAGGACAACCCTTAAGGGTAAGAGAGCTTGCTCAGAAGCAGGAGAAGGAGGGAGGTAATAGATGAGAAAGATTGAGGTGCAGGAGACTGGGAGGGAGGGCTCACCTCCAGGAGTGATACTGGAAAGGAGGAAAGCTGTGGACCTCACTGGCCCATTGAGAGAGGACCACCTGGAAACAGGGAAGCGACCCAGCTTAAAGGCCTGGTAGCAGTCACCAACCCAACAGCAGCACAGGAGAAGGACTGGTACAGAAAGGCGGGAGAGCATTTGGGTGGGTAACCTAACTCCATACGTGTTCCATCTCCCTTAAAAAAAGTATAGTTTCTAATGTGTTAGAATAATTAAATCAAAATCTACAGCAACTTACTGCATTCATAAAGACGGTTAATCTTAGCGACATCTAGGATACTCAGTCCAATTTTCTGCCCAATAGGCATATTGGGGTTAGGCTTGGGGACAATTGTGGCTTGGTTTGGTGTGTTGGATAATTCATAGCTGACAAAGGTCAAATGGAGATGAGATCAACACATAATCATTACAGTATGTTACCTTTCTTTATCATACATCACAGGACACAAAGCAGGCTATTCATGACTATGTGGGTTATAGGCCACCTATAGGTGAATGGATACTGCCCAACCAATCAGAGAAGAGGTCCTCCCCTATATAACCCCTCCTATACAGGAAGTACCTCAGTTTTTTCGGCAGTGTCTGTAAGGTGGATGGTCACTGAACGTGTTGCTGTGATTTTGAAGCATACCTAAAAGTCAAGAACGGTTCCATCAGAAAATCAGGGACTTTAACTGGATCCATTCAGAAGGCTATGAGCTAAAATTAATGATACCCAAACCTTGCTGGATAAGGAGAAGAATCCTCGAGGTTTTGCCTATAATGTAGCCTTGTGGCACTGGACTCCGTGCAGATGGAACCTTGTGCAGTTTTAAATCTGACCAAGGCACTTCCAGCGGGTGCTATACAGGTCCAAGGTAGTAGCCCCTCAGCATGGGGACTGAGTCCTTGAAGGTCTGTATGACAATGCCTGCCAGGATGGGTGAAGGTTGGTACCTGACAGAGGTCAGGGACCTGCGGTGGGATTGAACTGCCAGAGGGGCCTAGGAAGGGACAGGTGGAATTCAAGGCAACTATTTCACATTGGATCCACCAATTGATCATTCAAGCTTATGGTTTGAAAGGTAAATTACCACCCTTTCGGGTGAAGGCACACTCCACCAAAAGTGTGGGGGCATCTTGGGCAGTCCACCACCAGGCGTAAAGACGTCAGTGTCTCAGGTTTGCAAGGTCGCTACATTCACAAGGTTCTACCATGTGGATGTCAGACCTGCAAAGGATTCTGCCTTTGGCCGCACTGTTTTATGGATAGCTGAGTAGGTCCTGAGGGATCAGGGGCGGACTGACAACTCATGGGGCCCCGGGCAATAGGGGATCATGGGGCCCCTGTGTCCTTGCCCAAACTCAAAAAAGCCTATGAAAAGGGTACCAGGGGCATCTCATGGGTCCCTCTACTGACCCCGGGCCCTTGGGCAGTGCCCGAGTTTCCAAATGGTCAGCCCGCCCCTATGAGGAATTATTGACAGTGGCTATCATAGTGTCACCCTCCCCTCAAATTTAATATTGCTTTGGGACATCCCACATGGTCATGAATAGCCTGATCTGTGTCCTATGATGTACGATAATGAAAACTGGATTTTTTCTACATACTTACCTGTAAAATCCATTTCTAGGAGTACATTACAGGACACAGAGGTCTCACCCCTCTTTCTGGAATGTCATTGCTAGCTACAAAAACTGAGGTACTTCCTGTATAAGAGTGGTTATATAGGGGAGGACCTCCTCTCTGATTGTTCAGCCAGTGTCCACTCACCTATAGGAGGCCTATACTCACATAGTCATGAATTGCCTGCTCTGTGTCCTGTGATGCACTCCAAGAAATGGATTTTACAAGTAAATATGTAGAAAAAAAATTAAATTTTTGTATGTACAATCTTTGTTCATTGCAAATTTAAAATTATTACTAAAGTCAGAAAAACATGGATGCTGCCAATACAAAAGTGCATAGAGCCTGTAATCAATAAAAAATGGAGATAGAGGAGGTTTAGCACATCTCCTACATGTATAAAGTATAACAGATGTGTTGATACAAAACTACATGTAGGTAACAAATCAGAGAACATAAGGGATTGGGGTGTATTCACATATACACGTAACTTAGTCAACAGGTTACACAATTTCTGAGAGTAACCAAACAAGTCATGACACATCAACCCAATAGGGATAGTGTACCTATAGGACAATTGCCATCAACACTAGGCTGCAATACAGCAAGGAAACATCATCAAAATAAAAGAACAATCAGAAATAAATCCTGAGAAGGGATGAGGGGGGCATAACCCCAAAAATCACATCCAAGTCTCAAAGGAAGGAAGAGGGGCCAGAGGCATGTGGGAGAAAAAGAAGAAGAAGACTGGTTCCCATACTTCATAGATATTGAGAAAATTTAGCTGAAGTGTGGAAGTATTCCTATTGTGTCCACACCACTGGAGGCTGATGCAGTTGCTTGTCTTTGACATGAATCATCCCTTCCATGGACTGGATTTCATCCATCTCACATACCCAGAGAGGGGCTAAACGGTTTACGCCAGTTATGGGCTATGACACTTCTAGCCGCCTTAAGCATGTGGCATAAACTATCTTTTTGAAAGATCACAGGAGGATTGACAGCAACGTGATTCAAACATCAGGTTGAAGAAAGGAAGCCATGATTTTGTCATAAATGCAAACTATTTTTGACAAAAAGGAGGCAATGAGGGGGCAGTAGGCCCAAATATGGGTCATGGTCCCTTTATCTGCCAGGAATTTCCAACAAACCCCTAGATTGTTAGAGGAAATTATATGGAGGACAATGGGGCAATGGTACCATCAGGAAAGGATTTTATCATTTCTCTCCTGATGTTTAGTGGAGATGGAGAGCTTGTGAGTAAGGCAGAGCAGGGGCAGACTGACCATTTAGAAACTCGGGCACTGCCCGAGGGCCCGGGTCAGTAGGGGGTCCCGTGAGATGCCCCTGGTACCTTTTTCATAGGCTTTTTTGAGTTTTGGCAAGGACACAGGGGCCCCATGATCCCCTATTGCCCGGGGGCCCCGTGAGTTGTCAGTCTGCCCCTGAGGCAGAGGGATTTGTTCCAGTCTGCCTGGTTACCTTTTTTGTGTAAATTTGGATAGAGTGGTGAGGGGTTAATGTGCAATCCCTCTTCAATCAGGCATGTGGAAGGCAGCATGTTACCTCCAATTTGGCTATTAGTTGCGGGACAGCTGACAACACAGTCTGCCACAGATCACGAGTCAATAGCTACAAGCTTGTGAAAGAGGCTTAATTGCCCTGATCATTATTTTCAAAAGCAATGAAAGTAAGGGTAACTCCAAAATTTTGAGTTTTCACCAGAACAGGAACAGAGATGTTCCTCACATTGGAAAGATATTCTCTCACTTTCTTTTGAGTGTACAGAGTGTACAAAATCTCCCTAACGGAAAAAAAAAACAGATGGCAAAAATAACTGTTTGAACCCTCCCCTACTCTATCCAAAATGAAAAAAAAAAAAGTCAGCTAGCAGAAAAGTCATGACTTACCGATTATAATGCATCACTGAATCATAGTCATACTCAAGGCCCAGGTTATTAGTGTCTTGTTTATAAAAATTACTCCAGAATTCTGTAACAAAGCAAAATCAATGGTAATGTCTCTTTTTAAAAACATTGCTACATTTCTCTTGCAAATGCTCCCTGTACCTTGAGAGATATACTGGAAATTGATGTCAATATAATTGTCACGATCGCTTCTCGTGTGCTCATGGTAGAAGCCCAGGGCGTGGTCAAGTTCGTGTTGTACAATCCCTCTGTGAACGCAGTCATCACCCAATGAAACTGTTTGGCTTCCACCCATTTTTCCGACAAATGATGAACAGCTAGAAATAGTAAATATACACCAGAAGACAGTATCAATTAAGAGCCAAAGATAATGAGTTTAATTGAAATACTTAAAAAATTTAAGCTGCAGAAAGAAAATCATACATACTGCTTAGTCATAAGCAAGAGTGGACTGACAACTCATGGGGCCCCCGGGCAATAGGGGATCATGGGGCCCCTGTGTCCTTGCCCAAATTCAAAAAAGCCTATGAAAAAGGGACCAGGGGCACCTCATGGGGCCCCCTACTGACCCCGGGCCCTCGAGCAGTGCCCGAATTTCCAAATAGTCAGTCCGCCTCTGGTCATAAGCCATCCATACATGGACTGAAATGCATGTATGGGCACCCTGGATGTAGATAAGTCGATCTACCAATCGACTTCTGTACAACCTACCTGTCAGGAAGTGCTGATCAACGTACTCTGATGGCGGAGAAGACTCTCACTGTCAGAACACAATAACACAGCAGGGGTGATTCTCACATCCACCTTGATTGTGTGAATTGGGGAATCGGATCTTTTTTTTCATTCAACCTGCTGGTTGAACAAAAAAAAATGATTACTGAATGGGTTGCCTTTGAGCTTTCAATCTTTTAACAGCAGGTGTATCCCTATGCATGTGCACAGTGCTAGTAAGAGATATAAAATACGATGTTCAGGAACTAAGTAATGATGGACTGGATCAAAACAGTGGTTGCACTGCTTGCTTTAGGACCAATTTATAGGATTTACAGGCGTACCTCGGTTTACGAACGCCTTGTTTAGCGTAATTTTCAGTTGACGAATGAAAATCCATTGAAAATAATGCCTCGGTTTACAAACTTTATTCGCAATACGAAGCAAGTTTCTCCAGGATGCATTGTGCCTGGGAGGTTTATAGTGCCGCGCCCGTGTATGCTGGAGTCTGTGGGTAGCACGTGGCGTAGAGTTTGGAGGTGTTGGAGCGGTTTTTGCATCGTGTTTTGGAGCCATTCTGGAAATTTTTAATCATGTCCCTGTACAGTATTTATGCCTTTAAAGTGCACTTTATAAAAAATTGTGAACAGAGAAAACTTTTTTTTTACTTTTTTCTGACCTCCGGAACGGATTAATTGGTTTTCAATGCATTTATGAATTAATTTTTAATCATGTCCCTGTACAATATTTATGCCTTTAAAGTGCACTTTATAAAGAGTTTTGAACAGATAAGACTTTTTTTTTTTACTTTTTTCTCACCTCCGGAACAGATTAATTGGTTTTCAATGCATTTACGAATTTTTTTCGCAATACGAAGCAAGTTTTGTCGGGATGAATTGCACCTCGGAGGTTTATAGCGCCGGTCCCGTGCATGCTGGATTCTGTGGGTAGCACGTGGTGTCGAGTGTGGAAGTGTTGGAGTGGTTTTTGCATAGAGTCTTGGAGCCATTCTGGAAATTTTTAATCATGTCCCTGCACAGTATTTATGCCTATAAAGTGCATTTTATAAAGAGTTTTGAATAGATAAGACTATTTTGTTACTTTTTTCTCATCTCCAGAACGGATTAATTCATTTTCAATGCATTCCTATGGGAAACCGCATTTCAGTTTACAAATTTTTCGCAATAGGAAACATCCCAGAGAACGCATTAAATTCATAAACCGAGGTACACCTGTATTTTGATTGTGAATATGGATTTTAGGTGTAATCCTTTGAGTCTGTTGACACTAAGCTCCACCATCTCTTAGTCACCATAATTTCTTTACTCAATGTAAGTAGTGTAAGTAGTGTTGCAATAAAAAATGTTCTGCCCGTTTGCTGCTTCTACTAGGTACATGAAAGAGGAAATCTAAGAAGCACTTGCTGTTGGCTTGTGACATCCCCATTCATTGACAATTGTCAATGAATCCTTTAGTTTTTTTAGAAAAAAAAAAAAAAGGAGCAGTCATGCACTGATACATGAACTGAAGTCTAAGATGCAGTGAAGATCGTAGATGGCCTCTTCTCTTTCACATTCTGTAGACAACCATGATGGATAATAGACGAGACAACCTTACCCATCTGTATCTGTGATGTTGAGATAATTGTCTTCTGTTTTTCGAGACACAAACCTCACACAAGTCAAAGTCTCAAACTCGTCCATGGCATTCCTAATTGTATTGATCTCACTGGGACCTGAAAACAGAGGTGGAAAATTGGGTTTCTGTAAATAGAAATCTATAATAAATATTTAAATGCAAGAGGATGAAGAGATAACTTACTGAAGTCAGAAGATATGCTGTATGGAACAGGGACTGTACCATCGGCAATTTTAGGCCAAAGACAAGAAGTGCAGTTTATGGCGCTGCGTCCAGTCCTTACCCTTATGTCTCCTCCATGCATGGGCATGTCGATAGCTACACATACAGAAAGATGGTTTAGTTAATACACTAAAAAAAATGGATCCCATTTTAAAGTTGAACTCCAGGTAAACAGCAAAATATACAGATGAAATAATTATAAGAAAGCTGTTTGACCTGCCAAATGATTTGTATTTATGTCCACCCAGTGCTGAGATTTACATAGCTCAGGCACATAGCACAGCCCTGTTTGGCAGGGTAGGAAATCTGATTTTTCTCTGCTGCCCCACATGGAAGAGAAATATATTTCCAATATATTTAGAAAAAAAAATTATATACATATGTTACATATATTTACAATATATTGGCCTACATTATATATTTTTAACATGTATTCTAAAAAACGTAAATTTAAATATATTTTCTAAATTCAAAAGAGGAGATGAGAGCAAAACAATTGGGGGGCATTGTGCTCAACTATGACTTGTTTTGCTCTTGTCTCCTCTTTTGAGGAGCGTGTTTGTACTATGGGTCCTATCATGGCTATATGGCTCTTTTATGTCAATAAATGGTTATATGTATTTTACTGTGTGGTCTCTTACTATGCCCAAAGAATCCAATACTGCCGTACCTAGCAGTTTGTTTATTTTTCTTTTACAGAATATTCCTGTGTTGTGTGATTTTCCCTGCAGACCAGCCAAACAATGACTAAGAGCTTGAATCCAAAGCTTTGCCATTCTCCATACATGTTAGGCCCCTGTCACACGAGCGGTCCAGTCAGGTCCACCTTGCTGTTTATAGGGAAGACCAGAATGGACCCTCCATTCAACTCTATAGGCAGCGGATGTAAACAGACTTGTATTCGATTACACCTGGCTACCTCCAATCTCAGATGGCCGGATAGGAGGGCAGTTGGGTGTAAATAGTCCTCTGGTCCATTTACATATGGCTGCCCATAGAGCAGAGCGGGCTGTGTCCCGACATGGACCTGTCATCCAGCCACTCCATTCAGCTCAGCAGGGGATCAACAGACTGCTGAGCAAAACCAGATCTGGCCCATGAGAAAGGGCCATATTGGCTAGTCCATCAGTGCATGATGCAAAGTGTTCCATGATTTATGAATTCATTCAGTATTACTGCTTTTATCCCCTGCGGTATGGATTCAGTCCCGTCATACTGCTGTAAAAATCCTGTGATTTTTGAATAATTACCTTTATTTGTTTCAATGAGCTTGCTGAAGATCCCTTGAGATACTTCAGAGCCTTCACTCATTGTGGCTATATAGACACATACTACAAAATACTCATTAGACACAACTAGTGGCAAGTTACCAAAGTGACTTAATTTTCATGTAACTATTGAATCCAGTCTAAAATTTTAATTATATGACCATTAAAAGAGTAAGTCTTCAAAGCTATCTTCAGATTAGTAAAGGTGAGAATGTAATCTTAGCTACACTCTGATCTGTGAAACTTCTGGTTGGGTGACTAAATGGACGTGTAGTCTGTTTCTGCATCTCCTTGAGTGTCATTGACACCCTCACCTCCTGTAAGAGCTGTGATTGTGTGAAATAGTCTCCCTCAGGGGCTGGTTCTAGCCGACTAGATGCTAGATGTAATTCTAAAAGAATTATGTATTAAAGACTAAATCCACCTTTCTGACCATGTTTTGCGTTACATCCATATTTAGGGTGTAACATGAAACATTGTCAAATGTTGCAGGTCCCTGCCCTCAAATTACCTCCTTCACCTAAATCACAGGGTTCTTCTTGTATTTTTTTACTTTGGTAGGACTTTGTGTTTGCTCCACTCACACAGCTGCATCATATACAGGTATTCACAGATAATGTATATTTACACAAATCTGTAAATGGAAGACTACAAGTCCAATCTCCCACCACGGCAGGAGGACCTGTAGATCTCAATGGAACACAAGTGTGGTAATGTCACCACATTCCTTGAGTACTTCTATCAGCCTCATATCCAAAAGTCATTACCTCTGTATGGACCTGGGGCTGAAGGAATAGTCAGCATAATCCTTAGAATTTTACCCATGAAACACTGATCATGGTTGCAATTCTTAATGGGATCTTATGCAAACAATTAATAAGTGTCAACCAGGTGCGGACTGACCATTTGGAAACTCGGGCACTGTCCGAGGGCCCGGGGTCAGTAGGGGGCCCCATGAGATGCCCCTGGTACCTTTTTCATAGGCTTTTTTGAGTTTGGGCAAGGACACAGGGGCCCCATGATCCTCTATTGGCCGGGGGCCCCATAAGTTGTCAGTCCGCCCCTGGTGTCAACGATGCAACTGAGGAGAGAGGAGAGATGACATCTTGCTGAGGAGCAGAGGAAGTGAACAGATGATGAAACATGAGAGCAGTAGAGATAGAGCGGCCGCCATTACAGAACAGTAGAGTGAACTTTGGATGCTGGGGAGCCTTCTGTCTAGCTAAAGAGCCGGAAGCTAACGACATTGACAGAAGGGGACACCTTGCCTGGTGCTGACAGAGAGCTAGTGAGAGGCCACTGGCCAACCTCAAAACTACACTATAAAAATGTCAGGGTTCTACTGGGGCTCAGGTCTGAAGAAGGAGCCTATTGAGCATGCTCCAAAATGCATTACCGCCCGTTTCACCTGCTACATCTGATTCTGCTCTCCAAGCTTCATTTTTGATGCACAGGCACATCCTGGACTCTACTATCTGATCCTATAGGCATAGCTTGCTGCTGGACAGCTGGATGTCCCACCTGGATCCAATTACCACACGATGAGTCTTTTTAACTGTTTATCTTAGGCGCCTTCCTCTCTTTTTCTTGTCACTGGCCAACCTCACACTACATCTATGTAACAGAGAAACAGAGTTGCCTGCAAAGGAACAATGTATTATTGCCTGCATCAATTCTTAAAGGAACACTCCCCAAGCATACCAACAAAATGTTTTGGGCTCCAATGACCTGGCCAGCAGAAGGAGTAGAGTAGGCTACTACAGAGTGCTGAACTGACAGTGTGTTATATGGTATATCTATAGTTTGGGTTACCCAGAAAAGAGTGCAGATGGGGATATGTTTTATTTCTATCAATGTGACTGCAGCACATTCTTGCCCTTGTTTAGTCATCGCAGTGTGCCTCTCCAACTGTTTAATCTTTACAGTAGAACTTTCTTACTGCTCCGTTCCTTGGTTATTTATCTGGTTGTAACTTACTTCTTGCTTTTGTAGAACCACTTACTGTGTCTGCAGCTTAAGTCATTCCCTCTCTGGGAAGTTTTTTCCAAAAATATGCCTGAAGTGAAGTACGGCGAAAGCACGAGATGAAGAGCATGACATCACGTGCTTCATCTAGCATGTGTGCAGTATCACGGACATTTTTAAAATGGTGACATGGGAACGGGGACCAAGGGAAGCCAAAAATAGGTAAGCATGAAGAAAAAGTCACAAGGATATAGGTAAGCGTGATTGTTTAATTTCCCCCTATTTGAGTATTTACAGGTTTAGAGAGTAGGGGGGTCCTCTTTAAGTCAGGGCTACTTAGGTCTTTGAAATTAACAACATAGTCTCAGTCTGTGCAGCTAGGAGAGCTGCTAATGTGCACTGTAGCTGAATTCCTAAACCAAAAAAGGTAAATCCTTTATGTTTATGGCTGCACCAGGTTAGCAGGACACAGGGCTTTGTGGTCCATGCCAGCATTGTATCTTCACAACACAAACATAGATTGCATGTAAATGCTTCTAACTGTTGAGGGAAGTAACAAAAAATGACAGTTGGGGGTGCAAACTGTAATCGAACTAAGGCCAAGAGAGCAGTACAAATAATTACTGTCTAATTACAAAAAAAAAAGAAATATAGAAAAATAGACAGGAACTCACCAGCTTTGTTCATTCCAGGTAACAGGTACTGCAAATTAAATATTTTGCATCAATATTTTATTGCAAATTAAATAAGATAATATCAGACAACAAGTGAAGGTCTCCTCAATCCTTCTCAATGCATGGACATCTTGGATCCTATGGATAAAATTGCACCCTTCCCTTTTTTGTTAGTTGCACAGCTAGTTATCCTGTTAGAGTAGATTTAAACCCAAATTTGATGACATTTGCTAAAGCCCCCTTCATCATAAACAATTCCCACAATTATTTTATCTTTTAGAAAATACTGTTTCCATTTTCTGCATCTCAGTATTGATAACAATGTTTTCACCAATGGAACATGCCTACAGCATTCACCAAAGGTGCTTGTAAAAGTGACTACACAGGAGGGCAGGACTTAAAGAGTTGTCACAACTTAACAAGAAGTTTCTGAAGAAGGAACTTCATGGCAGGATCATCAGGTTTATTTTACGAAAGCTGTCATTTGTAATAGGATGGAGATATCACTTTTGTTAAACTATATTCAATTATATCAATCATGGTAAACTTATATTTGATTTTAGCGATTGAGCTTACATGTTCATTGAATTGAAACATTAGTAGAAAAAACACCCTTTACTCTAGATATAGAATTATTTGAAAAAAAATCTTTAAATGTTTTTAAAATACACTTAGCCCAAGTCAAGGGCAGACTGACAACTCATGGGGCCCCCAGGAAATAGGGGATCATGGCGCCCCTGTGTCCTTGCCCAAACTCAAAAAAGCCTATGAAAAAGGGACCAGCGGCATCTCATGGGGCCCCTTAATGACCCCTTGCCCTCAGGCATTGCCCGTGTTTCCAAATGGTCAGTCCGCCCCTGGTCCAAGTTCCTAAATTTGTGTTTAAATTAGCTTCATGAAGTCCCCTCCACAACAGCACTGACACTGAGGATATATTGCCACCCCACAGCAGCCAACCACATGGCTATACCTATCAAAATAAAAATCTGAACATTCTCCACATGGAAGAAAAATATATTTTAAATATATTTTAAAAATATTCTTCCTGTGAAAACACCCTGGAGGAGGAGCAAATTGCATTGATGCATTTCCGGCTTTGCCGTCCAACGTACCACATCACTTCCTGTCAGGGCTCCAGGTATGACCAGAGATGTGTGAACTGACACAGGGAAACGCAGGCT